CCTACCAGAAGCTGAAAAGATCAGGCCAAAAGTGTTCAGGATTGCCTCTTTTACAGAGACCATCTACATCTGGTCAGCATATATAGGGCCACAGAAAAGAATACTGGCTTCATTAGTGTTATCTTGGGCGCTGGTTCCAGGCACTGGAACAGTCTGGCATGGTTACAACTCCTTATTGGCTTGCTCCTTCCTCACCCAGCAGTAGCATGCTGTTTCCTGCCTGTCCCTGAACACAGGCAGCACAAAGGAGCACTAAAGCAATTGCTCCACTACTCTCAGACAGGGTTTATTTAGTTCCTTTCATTAACTGTTAAAGCCTAATGAGGGGGAATGCATTGCTGAAGCTGCAAATAGGAAAGTGGTTCTTTCTGTTCAGCTATGGTTTAGCTTTGTAGTGACATTAACCTGTGCCTTCAGTGTGGTGACGAGGCAGAAATTCGTAAATGCTCAGACACTCTGTGAGGATGTCAGGAAGCTTACATGAACACAGGTTCTGTGTCAAAACCGCTCTTTAGATTCCATCTGCTTTCCAGGCAGGTAACCTTTAACTGTGTGAGCATAAAGGATGAATTGGATGTTGAAAGGAATTGAAATTTCAGCTGCTCTGGGAAAGAGAATGATGTTGCAATTAGCCTATAAACTGCAGAAAATATCAAGTTTTGTACCAGGTTCTGCCCAGAATGCCTTGTCCATGAAGAATAGTGCTTTCTTGGCAAAACCAGTGCGCTGGTACATTTGTGCATAGCTACTTTTAAGGTTTTCTTCCAAGGTCCTTTTTGGTGATTATGGCTTTAAAAAAAATCCCCAAACCTAAAAACACCCTTCATTACCTTCACCCCCACACTGAAGGTCTGTCTATGCTGACACAGGTTATCTAAGATTACTTGAGTCGACAACAGTGTTTACATTAGTCCTATTATCAACATAATGAGCTTTCAAAGATAGCAACAGTCTTTACAGCATGTCTTTGACCTCTTGTAACCAGAGGAACCAGTTGAAGCATATGGCTCTGTAAATGTTATGCTCCCCTTCCTCAGGATGGCCTGTACTTACAAGGCACTGATTAAGAGAACAGTGTTTCTGCGACTTTTTCTCTTGATCTGACACTCCTCCTTTGGGAGACCAGGTATGGTCATCTGATAATTTGACACAAAACTTCTTGGAGTTTAACAGACTATGAGTCTGTCAAAAGTAAATTTTATGAGTAGGAAACTTAGAAACAGTTACCTTTTCAATATTTTTTCTGTCGTAGATTGTAAAGTGATACTTTTGAGAAATGGCAACAGAGGGACAGTTCATCTCTTTGTTTTTTCTAAATATTTCAGAAGCCTATTACATTGGGTTTGCATGGCCAAGCTTTGGTAGCAGGGGCCTACGGGGATGCCTTCTCTGAGAAGCTGCCAGAGGCTTCCTCCATTTCCGGCAGAGCCAAGCTCTGTTGGCTCCAAAGATGGCGGTGCCGCTGGCCAAGGCTGGGCCGATTAGAAGTTATGGTAGTGCCTCTGGGATAGCATATTTAAGAAGAGGGGAAAAAGAAATCCTTGCACCGTTGTAATCACAGGCAGAGAAGAGTGAAAGGAGAACATGTGATGGGAACAGCACTGCAGACACCAGGGTCAGTGGGAAGGACGGGCAGGAGGTGCTCCAGGCACCAGAGGAGCCCCACAGCAGAGCAGGGGATGCCTGAAGGGAGGCTGTGACCCCATGGGAGACCTGTGGAGAGAGGAGCGCACGCTGGAGCAGCCTGTCCCTGAGGGACCGCACCCAGGGGCGCATTGGTGAAGGGAGGTTGTGACCCCATGGAAGAGGGACCCACCCTGCAGCAGTTTGCGGGGGCCTGTTGCCTGTGGGCCAGACATCAGACAACAGAGAAGTTTGTGGAGAACTGGCTTCCTATGAGGGGGATGCTGTGGTGAACTGGGAAGGACTCCTCACCCTGAACAGTGAGAGAAACAACATGGGATGAACTCCCATTCCCTGTGGTGCTGGGGGAGAGGGAGAGTTGGGAAGGAGGGAGGGTGGGGAAAAGGTGTTTTTAGGGTGTGTTTTACATCTCATTATCCTGCTCTGACTTTGTTAGTAATAAGTTCAATTAATATCTCCATGTCTAGAGATGACATTTGATGAACCATTCTCCCAGTCCTTACCTCAGCCCATGGTCTCGTCATTAAGTTTTCTCTCCCTGTCCAGCTGTGAAGTGGAATGAGAGAAAGAGCTGCTTTGGTGGGTGCCTGGCACCTAGCCAGGATCAGCCCACTAAACCTTTTCAAGAGGAAAGGGAAGACTGGAATGAGCAGATGTAATCTGTTTTCCAAGCTGCTTGGAGTTTTTTATTTGGGAGGGAGGGTTTGATTATTTAGGTTTCCATCCTACTCAAGCCATAATACTCAGAAGTGTACTTTGAGCTACCACTTTGGCTTACTGACTTCTTTAGTTTACTGATTGCAAAGCATGTATTTTCTGGTGGGCACTGTGATGCAAACTGTTTGACTGTGATGGAGTAAGGATTACTTAAATCCAGATATTGTAAATGCTTTTCTTGGCTTGTTTGTTGTAGCCGTCATTTATCTATCTTGAGGCTGAAGGAATTTGATCAAAAAATAGGGGAAAGAATAATGAGAAAGAGGAGAATATGTGTTCTGAAATAGAGTTTTTAAGTTGTGCTTTGAATTCCTGTGTAATGGCCTGTATCTTGTAAAACTCAACATTTAAGGAAACCCAAGTGTGGTAATTGGCAAGGTTTATTATTTGAATACTGTTTTATCATAATGTGCTGTGCAAACTACATGCCATACTAGTGATGCAACATATTAATGCAAGTTTTGTTCAGATTATGTTGGAAGGAGGGAAGGCTGTCCTGTACTTTCATAAGGGACAAATGTGATGTGAATTGAGAGATGAATTGTGAAAGGATAGCACCTATGTTCTCGGGTGTTTCAGAAGAGATGCAGAAATAATGATGATCTTAGATTTGTCTTTTGTTTCAAAGCTTTAATTTATTTTATTCATGTGTGTTGGAATTTTCAGAAAATCTTGTTAACACTTAAAATTGCTTTTTCTTTGAGAATTGTTGTGAAGAGGCTGTTAGTAGTTCCAGGCTGATGATGAAGACTTAGAATTTTAGAAGTCTTAATTTGATCATGATCTGATTATGACTAAAAACTCTTTCGAGGAAACACTGATAGTGATTTAGTAGTCATGATGTAGCAAGATTCCTGTGTCAGGCAGAATCTGCCTCTGTGCTAATACTTTGAAACCTTTTACATTTTACTTTATCAGAACTCAAATTAAATAAACAGACAAATATTAAATTGATAATTTTAGATGTGAATAGTGGGTTTTATACCAAATTTAGCAAGTTAATGGCATGCCTAATGAGTTCTGCTGCTGATACTATGTACAATCTTGAAATCTCCCTAGATGCATATTTTTTTATTAATTGTTTATTATATATAAATGCAACTTAGAAAATATTTTTTCTGGCATATTAAGAAGTACTTGTGGATTTGGAAGGAGTTGTTTTGTTGGTTGGTAATTTGAATGTCTTGATACACATGAAACACTTTTTTTCCTTATGTTCCTGATCTTTAGTCTCTTAGACTTTACTGATTTTAGTGTTTGGTTACTCATACAGTTATTTACCCGTGTTTATAAGATACTTGTGAATTTCTTCCATACTTCTGCTCCCCTGACTGTACTGGAGATATGCAAAATATAGAAATTTGATAACTTCTTTGTGGCTATGTGTGTTGTTATATGATGTTGACAGAAAATATGCATGCCTTTATTGTAGACAAGGTAACAGGTGCTCTTTCCTATACTTGATTTTCATTCCTTTTAAAGTGGCAAGTGTCAAACCTACCTCCTGCTGTTCCACAGTGACGTTAGGCTAGGCTGCTCTTACTTAAAAAGTTGAACAAGTTTTTAATAATGCACGAGAACAATGATTTGGGTTTGGGTTTTTTGGTTTAATTTGGGGGCTTTGGACTTTTTTTAGAGGTGATTGGGAGGAGTTTGATATTTTGGTGTATTTTGTGGGGTTTTGGGAAGGGTAGTTGTTGGTTTTGGGGTTTTTTGTGTATGGGGCTTTCTTGAGTGCAATGTGGTATCCCTTCCTATTGAAGGTACTTCCTTTCCCAAGTTTAGATACACTGCTGCAGTCTGATCTGTGCTAAGAGTCCCTGGTTAGGGGTACAGGGCAGTGGATCAGCTCACTTTTTTTGCAGGCACTGTTCTTGGCCACATTATCGTTCTCTTCAGAGGCTTTTCCCGTGTAACTTGGGCAGCAATTGCTTTTTGCATTCACACTAATGCTGAAAAATATATTAAAATTACTTGTATGAGTGTTAATTAGATGTTTCTTTTGTTTGCCCCTGTTAATTGCATCTTTCTAGGAGGAAGGCTTTGATTTCGATTCTGTATTCCCTGCTGGGCTGTCTTGCTTGTGGATTAGTTTGATAAGAACAAGCTTCTTGGCTATTATGTGGAATGATCAATATCATCATACTGCTCATTGTCAGTATGGGCAAGCTTTAAGTCTCTCTAAATTTATAAGCAATGTACCAGCTTGCAGGTTTTATCAGATAGCAGAAGAGTAAAGCTGACCGAATTTTTGCAGGCTTGATTATGCTTTATGTGATGATAACCAAAGATCTATTAAGGCTCTAATCAGTTTTCTGTTGTAGGTCCTCTGGAGTTAAAAGTAAAGACTTTAACAAGCCACACTGCATTCACAAATCTGTATTTAAAAATTTAAATCATTATTCCAATATCATTCAGGCATGGGGAAAAAAATTACTGCAAATAGAGAGTAAATAAATAATTGTGTGTTTTAGTCAGGAATGTCATAAACAAAGTTGCTTGTTCTTCTACCAGCTCCTGTTTCATAGTTGATAGCATTGTGAAAATTTTCGTCTTCAGAAATGCTTTTTTTGCCTTGCTCTGTAGGTTGCGTCTGTTTCACTTTATATGCCACTTTTTAAACATTTCTAATTTTCTAGGTATGGAATTCGCCCTGAAAATGTGATTATATATGGCCAGAGTATAGGAACGGTACCATCTGTGGATCTTGCTGCTAGATATGAAAGTGCTGCTGTAATTCTTCATTCTCCACTGACCTCAGGAATGCGAGTAGCTTTTCCTGATACAAAGAAGACTTACTGCTTTGATGCATTCCCAAAGTAAGTTGTAGGATATTTTTTTTTCAGCATGCATTTTCTCTATAACAGAAGTTCTCAACTAGAGAAACAAGTAGTCTGGCATATTATCTGAAATTCTTTTCAAAAATATAATAAAAGAATTGGAGAAAAATCACTGAATAACGTTGAAGAGGAGCATTTGATTTGAAGAAGTTTACAAAACTTTGTAAACCTTCTAGGCGCTTTGCATCTCTAATCATTTTAGTGGATATCTGTAAAGTAATTAATTTTCCTGTATATAACATGTAAATCCCTAGTTTTAACAAGGAGTTCTGTCCAGCAAATTGTTAGTCTGGGAAACTGTGAGCAAAGTAATTTGCAATATGTTTCTATAAGACTAAAAAACTAAGTAAATCTTAACTGAAGAAAATTTTTTGTTGTATTTCGGAACTATGCTGTTGTTTTCATAGATATAATCTTTTTCTTTACAGCATTGACAAAATTTCTAAAATAACATCTCCTGTCTTAATAATCCATGGAACTGAAGATGAAGTAATTGACTTTTCACATGGCCTGGCATTATTTGAGCGTTGCCAGAGACCTGTAGAACCACTGTGGGTAGAAGGAGCAGGCCATAATGATGTGGAACTCTATGGACAGTACCTTGAAAGATTAAAACATTTTGTGTCACAGGAGTTGGTGAACTTGTAACTTTCATTGTGTATTTACATGGTTTTTTTTCATTTCACTGCAGAACTTCACACTTTGATAAATATATAACTTAAAACCTGAATGTTGTGTTTTCAAATCATCTTGGTTGCCTTCATTAAATCTACAGGTAATGATTTGTCAACATAATTAATGAAGGTTTTAATGTCAACATTATAAACTGGAATTACATGATCATGCAGTCAGACTGGCAGTTCGTATTTCTTTGTGTGAGGTTTTTTCTTCTTAGATGTAAAGAAAAAAATCACAAGGAGTACTGTAAGAAAATTTAATTATATAAAACCAAATGCTGTAAAAGTGTTGCCAAGTGCTTTAGCATATCAAAACCAAGTTTATAAATATTTTTTAAACATCTCAAAGTGTACTGTGACTTACTCTGTTGCACAGGTGTAATTAAAAAACTGACTTCTAAACTGTTGGTCTGTGAAAATGTAATAGCCATGAAATTTGAGCAAATACTAATGTATGTAATGAGAATAAACAGTCACTGGAAATTATTCATGCCCTGTTACAGAGAGAGGGGAAAAATAGATATGTTTTCCCATATTTTTTACTTCTTTTGTGCTTAGTTTTCATTTAGTTATTTTGTACTCGTATCGTCTATTAGCTTTCAGGATAATAAAATGTATCCACTCATGTTCTCAGGACTCCTAATCTTGCCAGAGTACAAATTATCATTGTTGTAATGCAGGTATCATTCACATGATTGCTACTGAGGCCACAAAATACCTCTTTGAAACCAGACTTAAAACCTAGAAGACTTCTTGAACCATGTAGTTTTAAACACTGATTTTCTAGAGCCACAACGTGTCATTAAAAAGAACCTTGAAGTTTATCCAACATTGTAATAAAGAGTTTGCAACGTAGCAGTTGTCTGATCAGGCTAATTTTGGATGTTTAGTGTAAAAGCTTATTTTTTTGAGTATTGTATGGAAATTTTACTAATTGGGCCTCTGTGGGGTGGGAAGAGTGACAAGAAGAGAATATTGACATTTTTCTATTAACTCATTATAAAATAAACTTAAGTTGCCTTTCCCTTGAATGCATTTTACAAGAATGAAGCTATGAAAAATAAACTTAATTATATGTGGCCTAATTGTGAACAAAGTAATATTCCAACAATACACACTGTGCTTTTAAGGCCTTACGTAATTTAATTGTTGTGCTTGTTTTTTGTGATTGAGACTATTGTGTACTTAAATGTAGTTTTGAGTATTGTGAAGACTTTGGTTAAGATGTGTTGATTAACAGTAAACAATATTCCACAAACTTGCAGTTTTCTCTTTTTATTCAAAGTAATAGCAGCAGTTGCTTGGAGTATCAAAATACTTAGCAACTCCCCATTTATTCAAGGAAATCTGACATCAAAAGCAATAACTTATTGTTTGGAATTGCCAGCACATTTCTTTATCAGCAGCTACTGTTCTGGATCACCCTTCTATCCCCATGACTCACCTTACTACAATTTGCCATTCAGGACACAGGCTTTCTGCTGCAAAGCTGCTTGTAAACTTTTTTTTTCTGTAACAAATTCTAGTATCTCCTTCTTTGAAATTAAAATGAATTATTGTCTTGTGCACTTTGAGTTAATTGAGTAGAAAGAAATTTGTTCACAAGGAACTAGATTTCTGTGTGATTTTTTGATCAAGGATGTTACAATGAGTTCTGAAATACAGAGTATATTCAGAAACAGCAGCATTAGACTTAAGGTTTTTCATCCTAGTTCAAGGCTTTTGGATACAGGTGCGTAACTCAGCTTTATTAACATAATGTTTAATACATGGTTTGATTTCCTTTTCTTACTACCTTGGTAAGGAGGTAGCCACTAGTCACTATCTCCAATGGAAATGCGTGCCATTAAATATTCAAGTGCTTTCTTTGTAATGAATGGAACTTGTTTTGAGATTCACCTTCAGGAATTCAGAAATAAAGAGTGTAGAAGTGCAATATTAAGTGAAATATATTGGCTGCAGTTTGGTTGCCTGCCCCTTGCAGGCAAATGATCAACTGTCACCACAAGAACTATCTGATTGTGCCAGGGGATATTGTGGCACCCTGTAATTGAAAAAGGCAGAAAAGGTGTCATTGTAGTTTTGCTGCTTTTGTTTCTGTATTTTGTTGAAGCGGAACAAAAGACCTGACTAATAGTGTTTTGACTTCAGTATGTGCAGCTGTGCCGGATTGCACTGGTGAGTAGAGATTCTGGTCTCTTGCATCATTTATGCATGGTTAATTATTGCCATTTTGTGCTGATTTATGTTTTATACTAATATGTTTTCAGAGGAGTTGTATATGTGAAGGAATTTAAATAGCTTAGCCTGTGGTGCAGATTGTATTATGGCAGCAAACTTGTTAGTGACAGAAAGCAACTCTGAGCTATGGCAACGATGAGGAAAACATTTGACATCCTGATTGTCTTATCCTTATACCATCATTTGGTCAAATTGACAATGGGCTGTTGTTTAATGTTATAGATGCAATTGTCTCATGATAAACAAAGTTGATTCAGCATTCATTGAAAAGACAATGCCTGTATTTTAGGGAAAAAGAAAAGAGTGTTTTGTAAGCTTCATGATGTCATTCCTGGTTTGGTTTTTTTTAAAGAGATGTATTTGACAGTAAGCTGTCATTTTCATTTCTGCAAACCTTGGCAAATCAGCTTTCAAAACAACTCCATATATGTAAAATATGTGATTACCTTCTAAAGGTGGGGGTCTATTTAGGACATGTTTTGCTTTTACATTCACAACTCCATAACTCCCCTCTCTTAATTCCACTTCTGGCACCAAAGAATGCTAGTGTGTGTTCAGTTAGATACTCTTGTTGATTGATTCTAAACTTACTTTCCTTTTCAAGATTTTTTTTACTGGGGAAAAATATTGCATGTTTATTTTTGGGCTCCTTTAACTCTGTGACATTGGACAACAAGGTACTGCTCATGTGGAGTATGCCAGGTCCTACAGGTCCTAATTTTTCTCACTACTCTGTAGGCATTGTTAATATCTTAAAGTCACAAATAAGGAAAATAGTATGTAAGTAGGAGGCTGATTGGTTGGAAACTTTGCAGAAAAGGAGTTGGGGACCCTGCTGCAACAGGCTGCATATGAACCAGCATTTCACCCTTACATCAAAGGCAAACGAGACCATTCCAGGCCTGATAGGCAGAGGTTTGCCAGCAGATCATGGGAAGTGATCCTGCCTCTCCTCGCTGCTCTGAGTGCAGATGTGTGTAAAATGCTGAATCTAACTCTGGGCTTTTGCATGAGGATCGTAGGGATGTACAGAAGGAAGTCCAGTTCAGGGCCACAGCTACAACTGAAAGACTGGAGCATCCAGCATAGGAAGAGATGCTGAGAGAGCATCCTTTTCATCCTTTAGATGAAAAGAGAGCAGGCTTTTCATCCTGGGGAAGAAAAACTTTGAAGTTTGGCAGGATATTAACTATTATGTGTGAATATCTGAGGGAGGGAGTGAAGAGAGCTGAACATTTCCCTGTACTGCCCTCTGAGAGGGCAAGAGCCCATGATGACACACTAAAAACCAGAAAATGCAATCTGAAATTAGAAAGCGAACAGGGTTTTTTGAGGTGCTTTTTTGTTTGTTTGTTTTGGTTTGGTTGGTTTTTTCTGTTTGCTTGTTTGTGGGGTTTTTTGTTGGGTTTTTTTTTTTTTTTTTTTGTGAGGCAGATCAAACACTGGGACTGACTGTGTAGTTCTCATCTTTACACATAGTCAGAATTCAGCTGAACACAGCTTTAGGTAACCTGCTGTAGCTGAGCCTGCTCTGAGCACACAAGTAGATGTTCTCTAGGGGTTCCTTTCAGCATCTGTCATTGTGTGTACACCAGCTCAGAAGTGGAGAGTGTTTATTTTAAAAAAATTGTCTTCATTTGGTGTTCCCTACTTTTGACACTTTATTTTAAAGCAACAGAAAGCCCTTTTTCTCTTGGTCCTGAGACCATCATTGTTTGATGCACTGCTACTGAGTCAGACTAATACCAACTTTTATACCACAGACAGTGTCATCAAAGATCACAGATTGCTACAGTGTATTACAAATGGTTGAAAAGCTAGAAGTATAAGTATGCTATCCTGAAAAAAGTGCTTGAAAGATGTCTTAAACATTGTCAAAGATGGAAATGTTGCATTCACAGCTACTATTACGTTATGAGATACAGTTGTTTTCAGTTGTTTCGATAAAATTGGGTAATAAAGTTGGTTTTACTTCACCTGATTAATGAAATGAAAAATTGTTTGTGGGAAAGTTTGTCATGAGCTAATAACTGTGTCAGACTTGCTCACCATCACCGATACAGTACAGATAACTCTGATTGTTATAAGTTAGTGTGAAAACCCATTCAGCTTCAGTACCACCAGATTGAAATGTCATCATGACGTTACCTTAGAGCTCTTGACATATTGAACTTCATATTAATTGTAAAATAGCCATTAAAAAAACCCCAATGATTCGCCAATAAATTCTATTCTATGATAATTTCTATACTAAATCTGCTTCCCTTTTTTATTTATTTATCTATTACGGGGTCTTCTTTCTGTGAAAGGGAGTAAAATCTTTGCAAACTTCTGGTAAAATGCCAAGGAAAATGTTTCAAGAAAGACAACTTTTTAAAATGCATGATCTTAACAACAGATTACTCTTCCAGTGACGAAGGGCCGGCCACAAAAATGATCTCAGCATTAACTTTTTCCTGGGGGCATTAGTAGTTTGTCTTAGTCTAATAACATCTTTCTAAATTATGAGGAAACCTTGAAATGGTCTTGTTGCTTAGAAGAGGTTTTGTGGTTGGTCAGGGAGGCATCATACAAATGTTTGTCATTTTAATGTTTAATTTTCAAATTTTTTGGCTTAAAGTGGGCTAATAGCTTTCTAACTTTCATTGAGCACTGCAGAGAAGACATGGGAGTGACATTGATGAGACAGTCCATATAGCTTCCTATTAGGCTAGAAGCTGTGTGCACCTCAAGTAGGTAACTGCGCCTTCTCTCCTAGAGCTTTGGGTGAATGTAATATGGATGTAATCAGACTGTTATGCTGGGACATTTTTAATTTTCCAAAACCACAAAATTTTTTGCCAGATGTGTTTTTCTGGAGTCAGGTAAATGGTAGATTGACTAAAATTCTAAAACTGAACTGTGCTGACTAAAATTCTAAAACTGAACTGTACCAAAGATCTGAATAAATCATAAACTAGAACAGCATTTTAAATCATTTAATCAGTAACTCATCTAGTAGCTTAAGGGCACATAATGGCACTGTAACTCTTTATCCAGCACCTGAAGTATTGCAAAGGTGTTTGATTGGCCAACTCATCTGTTTTTAAAGGTATAAGTACACTTTCAGCATAAATGTACATTTTTGTAAGTCATTCTAAGGAGAGCAAGGAGTGTGTGTATGAAAATCACCAGCAGCTTCGCAAGAGCATTACTGATTTGGAGACACATATGATGCATTCTGATTTTGCCCTGAATATTTCCTAAAAAAAGTTTGCTAGGTCCATTTGGTAGATGCTGCACACTCTTCAAAACAGAAAGAGAAATATCTGGTCTCTGGTTTGAAACAACCTCCCAGGATGTTTTGTTACATTCATGGCAACACTTTAATCCATTAGAAAAATGTTCACAAAAGATTTGAGTGGTAAACTCTAAGTGCTGATGAGGCATTTCGGTTTTCAGACATCTCTGCTTCTCAAGCTGTTACTAGTTAAATATATACTTTACTTCTTTTTCATGTATTTGGCCAAGTGTATCATAGTGCGCTGCATAGAGAAAAGCAGAGGGATGTATGCCTTACTTATCAGAATTCTGTTTGTGTTGTATCTATCAGAATTCTTTTTGTGTTGTAGTATCATTTTTAGTTGGCAACGAGATTTCATGTAAGTTTCTTCCTGTCAGAGATTTTGTGTCCTCTGAAGTGCTGGAAGACAAACCCCGTGCTTGGAGCCAGAACAGGAAGACAGACAAAAAATGCTGACTTGAAAAAATGTATGAGTTCCTGTTCTGCTGTATTTGTAGAGCCCAGCACTGTCTCAGTTTGCCCATCTTAGTAGGTGTGTAATAGATAACCTGTCATTATATTACTTAGGGTCCCAAAACAAAAAGAATTTGTGTCTTGGTTTAAAACAACTTGAAGGAACATACTCTGGAATGAGCTGCCTCCCTTTATAGGTTCAACCAATCCCTTTCCACCAATAAGTGATGAATACAAGTAGAAGTGAAAAGGGTGCAGCAACAGTCAGGAAATAACAGCAA